ACCTCGATATGTCGAGCGATTGACAACAATAGGTAACACCTTACCTAATAAATCAATCGATAAATAATTTCGATCGACACGATTGCCATAATCTAAATTTACAACTGATTACAACAGCTGATTTTTACTCCCTAGAGAGTGAAAATGCTACTTTAGACTCGCAACACATGCATTAAAAACGACTGTTTTTACTGCAGTATGACGAAAATGTATATTTTAGTTTATTGTCAGTGGGGTTTGTAGTTTCGAGGGTAACTGAAAGACGATCATGTGGTCGTAATAGTCGCCGAGCAAGCTTTTGTTTCATTCATTGAGAATAAAAGTTAACCTCGAAACTCCTAGAAATATAAACTTAACAATGAGGTAGGAGTTATTTCTGTACTATAGAAACTCTTTTTTCGACGAAATCCATCATGGTTTTATAATCTGAGTGTATTTATAATAATTACTAAAATTTGTTAAAAATAATCCAAACAATACTTCAAAACCCAAACTACAACCTTAATTTCTCAAAAATCTTGTATTTCGTATCGAGGAATTCTGAACAAAAAGTTTCAATTATCTGTCTGCTAGGATTAATTTTAATCTCTATTGATAAGATGAACCATATAGTTAGCACAATACATAACGATGACGTCACCAATAATGACGTCAGCTCGGCACGTGCGCTAGCGGGCGTTAGTCTAAACATTCATTGTTTACAAATAAACATCTTGGAGTGTTTTGTCTTAATTCTTGGCATTAACATGCTTTGGTGCACGAATCAATCCATTGATTTATTAATTTGTTAAGTTGGTATATCCCTGCACAAATTGAGGGAAAATTATCCTACACTCATGACATTGTATGCTTGTATACTTGCTTGCACAAAGACCTCGAAAACGGCTTCGACTATTTATTTCAAATGTTGTAAATCATTTTTATCTGGCCTAAATCCGTTTTAATGCAGTTAAAACTGCCAACAATAATCTAATTACTTAAAAAAATTAAATTAAAGTCAATTTTTTTAACATTGGCCTTATGGGTTGTTAAGTAACCATGTTGGTTTAAAAAAATTACAAGGAAAAAGTAAACAAAAGATTTGCAAGTTGTAACATGTGTTTATAGCAAGCTATCTACAGTATACTAGGAAATTACAAAATACAGTACAAAGGGAAAAACATCAGTTGTTACTATTGAGCAAAGATTACACTGAAGATAACTCGATATAAGTAAAAATAGTTCCGATCAAATACTGATTATTTAACTTAGATCTCTCCTACCAAAACTTAATACCCAAAGTAATCAGCTGTTTTAAATTGAACAAAATGTCAAAACAATGTTTACCTACGACCGTTTTTTAAAGTAGCCATTTCAGTTCAGTTCTTAGAATTGAAAAGTTTCACTTAACAGCTGTTTACTTTCCAGATTAATAATAATAAATTAACAATAATAAAATAAAAATATTAATAATAATAAAAAATTAATAATAGTAAAAAACCAGATTTTTAGTAATTAAAAAACGGTCGTAGGTAAAGTAGTGTACGCAACTCGCGTTAATAGTCTTTACGACACTCGTAGAAGTTTTCTACTCTTATCGTAAAGACTAACTTAACGCAATCGTTGTGTAAACTACTATTACGCAAGTACAGACTATTTTAAACGAGTGATTGTTACCATAGACTGTAAAATAAATTATTGGGTTGTGGATTGCCAGGTTAAAATTTCCATCATAATACATTGAAATTCCACTGAAACTCAAATAATAAAAGCCAAAATTAGTTGTAAATAAAACGTGAATTTCCTATATTGTTTTTAAAATCAAAATAAACTACACCAAGCCATAGCTCGGTGGTCAGGTTCCTTAAGGGGAGATGCCCAGTTTTTGCTAGGTTGGAATGAAATTAAATATTTCCCAAATTTGATTCACGAAACAATAATGTTCTTGTCTTTCACCTAACCTCTGTCCAATTGCGACCTTGCCTGTTGATAACAGTGATTAGCTCAGGTCAAGGTCACATTATTCGCTTGTCATTTTGTACAATTAGTTCCTGCTTGTCTCTAGTCTGCATCGCGATTGACGAGCTTCTTGTGTCTGAGATTCGGTTTTACTGATAACGCAATGACAGTGAATGGGATATAATATTCTTATCATTTCACTGCATACAACAATAACTCAGGAGTAAACTACAAACATTTAGTTGGAGAACATTTAATTGGGAAGCAAATGGATCAGAAATTGAATTATGGGCTTTTACATATTTTGGTGTTTAGCGATCATCAATGAAAAAATATTTTACATACATATTGCAATCTATATAAGGGATACCAATCTATAAATTTACCCTATGTAAATGAAGATTATGTATATTATGATCAGTCAATGTAATACACATAATAAACAGAATTTAATTATTTCACATTTCGTAACGTACCGGTACCTAACTTTTCTAAGCGATGAATGTAGTTTTTTTGGTTTTTTTTTTTGTAACAAAAACACGGATTTTATTGTTCTGGAAGATTATTCATTTGTTTTAATTCCATGAGAAACCAAGATCTCATCTTCAGTAGCGATTCAGATGTTGTCAAGGGACCTAACGGGGATGTTGCATACCAGGAGGAGGGTCCGGGGGTTGACCCCCAGAAAATTTGCAATTTTAAAGCAGTTTGTTGGCCTTTTAAAGCTAATTTTAACGTCTAGATTTTTGTAACGTCTCCGTTACATTTTTATGACGAAATGTATTCAAAAATGTATATTTCCAGGGCCCAATGGAGGGGGACTTTACCCCCTATTGACCCCCCTTGGAAACAACACTGTTTTTTATGAAAATATTAACAAAATGTACTGTATGTATCCCTGAAGACTTCGCTAACAACACTAAGAAAAACAACGTCAGAAGTGGATTAAGTGCACATCTCCAGTGAGTAAAATAGAAGACCTAAGTCAGCTTAGGTGCGTTCCAACGTGCATGTAAGCTGAAGTGCAAGACAAGTTGGATAAGTGAGTCAATTCGTGTCTGCATTTAGATTAGATAACAGCTGGGGACGCTGATAACGTGACTGTATGACCTTGGTGGAAAATTGATAACATCCTCGTCACATGGGAATGTTGTTACCGACTGATGTGCATATTTTTGTGCCACTTCTTTATGACCTAAACATGTTTGTCCCCGTAATAACTTTGTGTATCAATTATCAATAATTGAGACCGGACGCCACCTAGGTGCGTATTTTAACCCAAATATGAATGAAGGATGAGTGTAGAATGGTGTGAGATGATCTGTGTAGCTTTGTTACTGACTAAGATCAGCTGTATTACCGATATTTTATGTTTATGCATTTTCTCCTTGAAAGATGTGACTACGAGAAAGAATTTTGCTCATCGCCATCTCCTGAAGAAGGCAATGTTCAATTTTGTAGTGTTTTAGAACCAGTATTATATTGGTACGTGTTTGTAGTACATATTGAAGACAATTATCTTCAGAAAACGATACAAACCCTGGATGAAACTACATTTTCAAGTAAGTCTAATAAAATCACACAGTTTTGTGTTGTTTGGCTAAAAATTCTGGAGTGCAGAAAAAAATAGTGCGACAAAAGTGAGTAAATGCATCAATTAGCTACTTGGCGTACTAAACAGTACAAGGAAGCCCACTTTGTCAAGTAACTGTAAGAAAAAATGAGTAATCATCTGAGGTATGTCAAAATATAAATCAGCTGTTCCATATATATTAAATACAAAATTAATGGGGGAATTTCCCTCAAACCGCTTAAATTTTGTGTACACATTATAGTATGTAACGTTATTAAACAGCTGATTGGTGTAGATATAATTAGCGCTGTACATGTCAAGGTAATATGATGCAACAGCGAAACCCGGCAACTGTGTGATATCACATACTACTGACAATACATTGTTGGCGTCCTGTCTAATAAAATTCTCATCTGCTATCTAGACAGCTGCATTATGTAAAGCACCTACTTGAAAACTTGTTTGAATATAACTTTATAAAACACGCTACTAAAGCGATCGATGGATCCAACATGTGAAGCGGGTTTAACGTGGAGAATTTTGTTAAGTAATCAAAATTTAGAGTAAGCACTTTACTTGGTTAGGATGTAGTGGTTAGTTAATGGTTTATAAAACATTATGGTATATTATAGTGTGTATTAATGAATGAAAATGAAAGATAATGAATTGGTTGAACCATTAGTGGTTGAAGAGGAGATTTCGTTGGTAAAAAAGACCAAGAAAGCGTTAACAGTTTTATTAGTGTAAAATGAATCGATAATCAAAACACACAATAATGTTATATAAATGAATCAACCACACCACAGAAAACGAAAATTACCTTTGTGTTCGTTAACATTATGTCTTTTAGTCGGAAAACTATTTTCGTCAAAATAATCGGTACGATGATTTTTTTTAATATTGTTGCAATCAATATTATATTGCGTTTTAATAACACTTGAAACCATTTATGACAAAAAATTACTTTTAAATCTATAAGAAATGTTTGTACAACGTCAACTTAGAATCACATTTAAACTTAGTCCACGATAAAGTTTTAAAATTAACTTTTGTATTCTGAAGTCCAAGGTTTAACTATCAAAATCAACAAAATAATCTTCTACACTTAGAAACTTCACACTAGTAAATTTAAATGTCTTCTAAAAGAGAATCTTTAACATTATTAACGCATATTTTCAACCAGTCTAGGTAATCACAGTGCCTTTTTGTATTGTTTGAAAACCTTTAAAACGTCAATTACTCCGAGATTTAAAATTTATAAAATATTTCTTTGATTAGTCTTGATGACCACTGTGACATATTTTATATAGCATAACTAGTTTTGACCATCTTGTAATGTTTACAGTATATGTGTGAATATATCGAATTGAGTTTGAAAACATATTCTTATTATATTCCTAAAATAAAATAATAAACTAACTGCAGATGTTTTAAGAATATTTTAGTGCATGCAACACGACAAATTGTATGAAATAATTAGTGAACATACCAAAGTACTCGGTTGTATCCAAAACACTCATATTATTTCACATTCTTAACTGACGTTCTCTTAAGCGATTAAAACTACGACAGAACCACAATTTAACTTTACAAACCACTAATGACAACTATTCGAATCTTTTACACACTATATGTTGAATCAACTTTAAACAAAAATACCATCGAATGTACGTGTTGATCGCCTCAGAGGTATTTGAATACTGGCCAAGGTCTGACGTTATCTCGGTTGCTCAAGCAGTTCCTAGAATAGCCACCAGTCGCTGCGTTAGCGCTAGCGTTTCTGTTGATAACATGTCATTTATTATGACACGCGCTGTATATTTTACTGCCATCGACAACTTGGTTTGCAAGTGTGTTTTCAAAGTAGTACATTAATTGCAAAATCAACACCTAAAACAACAGTGTTGTTCAAGATTCTTAGATTGATTTAATTTAGTTCAATAAAATTGGGTAAATTTACAAATTGTTTCAACAGCTGATGTGGCTAATGACTAAACAGACAGTATTTTTTATAGGAAGAAGTAATTTAATAGAAGTTTACGCAACGATTGGGTAAAGATAGTGTTAACGACACGAGTAGAAAATGTTTACCTACGACCGTTTTTTTAAAGTAGACATTTCAATTCGATTCAATTCACAAAACAGCATTGTTTACTTTCATAACATCATAGTTTTACTCTAAACAACACGGGTATCGAACCAATGAGGTTCAAGGATTGAGAGAGGAGAAGTAAAATTGTAATGATTCGAACTTCAAATAATCAGCTGTTCTAAATTTTGTTGAGTGGTGCAATTAGTGTTTGTTACAATGTTTTGTTGAATCTCAATGTAACATTATAATCAAGACATGGTCAACAGAGGAATTAGGGAGGGAGGCGATGGGAGGTTATAAACGAAAACATATTAACCTCTCTCAGACATTATACTGAAACTTTACTTGAAACATAGACAAAAACAATGAAATATAGACCGTCAGCCATGCTGCGATTAGCATGGGTTCTGGCGTCCACCGCTGGGAGCGCCGTGTATTTACGTATACCGTAGTTACACGGCACTCCCAGCGGTGGACGCCAGAACCTATGCTAATCGCAGCACGGCTGACGGTCTTGGAATGACTGTACACTGGACATGATTGACGCATGCGTACTCTTCCATGGCAATGTTAACTAACGTTGTCTGATTTTTTGAAATCTCACAAAAGAATGATCAACCGAGAGTTGTTTACAAATATATAAAGTCCGAGCATCATCTATGGTCCGAGGTTTACTCAGCGCCTTGCGGTGTAAGGTTAGTAAGGTCAGAGGGCTCCAGACATGATAGCCATTTGCGGTCGTCGTCCGAGCTAATGGTCTTTTAATGGCCCGTTAAAAGACAGATGATAACATTTTAGACACTGAATACTAAACGATTTAAGTTAGTTGCATCTGCAGTTGTAGCTGTTTAGGTTCATACAATTTAACGTAATATCACACAATTCGCTTTTTACCCAGATTGTGTTTAGTATTTTTACTATTTGTAGTATCAATCATCTACTTGCAACCATTTAAACCACTTAAACTAAACTTCATCCTAATTGTATTTTAAATAAGACTAATATAAATTAGTCATATATTTGTTGGTAATCCGGTAGTTGTTTACATTCAATTGGTCTAATAGAAATATTGTACACAAAGTTTACATGCTCAAGGATAATTTAATGTCAATGTCAATTTAAGATGCCATTTTAACGATTCTATGATATTAAAATTATTAAGTATAAACAACAGAAAAGGACAATCGATACGTACTTATATTTATTCCAACAAATTAGAACCCTGCTATATTTGACATGTTTTACAAAGTTCCGACAGTTATTACGACTGAATGATCAACGTAAAAAAATAAAATGAGCTTAAGATAATATTTCACAATTAAAATATCATATTAAGATTATTTTAAATAGCAAAGATCTTCATAGAGAAGGGCATTATTTTTTACGTCAATTTTTTGTTAGGGAACCACGAAGCAAAATTAAAACTTACGATACTGTTTCACCACAGTAAGGGACATCAGTTCTACCAACCTGAAACATAAAATTAATTATTTAGATTGGATACAATAAAAGATAAATAAGTAAAACAGCAGAATCAATGTGATAAATTAACATAAGATAGAATTTATGTACATTATTTAATTCAACAAAAACTTTAAACCTTGTTTAAATTATTTTATATACCGTATCTTAGACAAATAGGTTGGAAATGGAATTTATTTAATTCATAGAAGGAAATTATTTCATAAGCCTATCTTATCAAACGGTATTAGAACATTTATCATTCCCTGGACCTCGAAACCGAAAACCGAGACAACATTCCATAGGTGAAATGATTGGCGTTTTTAAATGCCAGGATCGTTGGTGGAGGGGAAGGGGAAGGGCAATTACTGTACTTGAATGGACCCAGAACCGAGACTAGGTCAAGGTCACACCGACGCTGAGCATTGACTGCTGCTACTACCTGGCGGTGAAACTGGAAACTACATTAGCGTAGTTACAACCGTGGCCGGTAGAGTGTGGCTAAAGACAATATCTTACACTGATGTCGTCTGCTACGTCCACTAGCGCTCCCGGTGGCAATTAAGTGAACTTGACAAACCAGAAATTCAAAACCAGGGTTTGTGTTTGCTGCTGTAATGTGTAATTGTTTTATTCTGTTTATTTTATAACTGTTAAGGCAGTAAAAGATTTGAAAAATTCTCACCTAATCGAAATTACTGTAGTTATGACAAAAAACCAGAAAAATGTCAATTTTCTTAGATAGCTGTGATATTTGACTATCTATAAATTAATCCTCAGATACAACTCCATTATACAATTATACGAACAAATCCAACACCAAACATCGTTCATTAGTATGAAGCGTCAATGCTTTATAGTTTATAGCTACTAAACAAATTTGTTGTAATTTCGTTTATCATGGCATTAAAGGATTTGTTAATATAATCTGTTTCCATTAGATCGTTTATAAAGATGTAAGCTTTATGTCTTAATCCCCTTCTTAAAATATTAAAAATATAGGTATGACGTAAGATGAGCATTTTAAATTACATTTAGACACGGTATGTCAGTGTTCTTGATTTCAGCTTTTAAATGTGTGTATATAATACGCGATAGTAATTTACGGGAACGATTTTGGCAACCCCTAAAAGATCTTGTTGACTTTCCAAGAGCGCTTCGACAATTGGAAGTTGCCTTATAGATATTAGAGTTTGACTAATTATTCAAACTTTCAATTCACTGCAACTTTTCTTAAAGATTGCTTAGCTGAGAATTCTCTGTCAATTGTAATTTATGTGATTGAGACAGTTGCAAGAGTGAGGGGAAATGCAAAAGTAGAAGAAAGTCTAGACGTACAAAAAATGATGACAAGTAGACCGAAACAATTGATTGAATGGAGAGTTGGAGTATTGGTTACTCGACTAGTCTTCCAACAACCGCCAATCATATGATTGTAGAGTAGAGCGGACACTGAAACCATTCCTAGATTGTACCATAGACAAAAGGAATTAAATAAAGACTGTCAGCTGTGCTGCGGTTACCATTGGTTCTGGCGTACAACGCTGGGAGCGCCGTGTAGTTACGGCATACGCGCTACGTAACTACATGGCGCTCCCAGCGGTGTGCGCCAGAACCTATGGTAACTATGGTAACCACTGCACGGCTGACAGTCTATTTTTAATTATTTTTGGCAAAAGTAAAAATGTGCTGCAAAAGTAAGTTAATACGCAATTAGTAACTTGATGTGCTTATAATGAGTGCAAGGAAGGCCACTTTGTCAGGTGGCTGTAGGAAACATTACAGCATCCCTTATCAACAGGAATCTAAACATTAAAACACAACTTATTTTAACATCCTATTATAGTTAACATTAAACTATGCAATTTTTATAGTGTGCTATTAACAGCAAGTTATAAGAATTTCAACGACGAATATTTGCTGCATGTTTTTGCTCTTGAGACTCATAAATGTCACGGAGTATTTGTAGATTATATTTTTACCACAGCTCGTCTGTAGCCTTCACCTCCATCTGTGGGAGAACGCGGATATCACGACTCCCGGAACTGTTCACTCCGCGGAGAAAAAATATGTTTTCTCCTTCATTAAAAACAATTGTACATTGTAAAAACACTCTTTGGGCATGAAAATTAGTTAAAACATATTCCGTCAACAATGCTAAAATAGAACGGGGATTCGTTGGGGAAAGCAGTTAATCAATGTGCTAATAAATACTGTTTCTTAAGGAACCGTTATTTTTAAATTACAGTAACTAGATTCTAGAAAGTTAATAAGTTAACATATATAGTACATTGTTCAGATTAATAAAAAATTGATTGTAAATTCAAATTGGCAAAGTATGATATATTCCTATATGTTACATAGCGTGAGTTTTGTTTTAAACTGGGTGATATAGTGTAACTGGGTATTCACTGTAAGCCTTTTGTTAAAATAAGCAATCAAATAAATCCATAAGCACAAAGTAATTAAAATATCGTTTAACATTAGCAATCACATTTTGTGTATTACCAATACCATAGGTTCTGGCACACACCACTAGGAGCGCCATGTAGTTACGGCCTACGCGCCTCGTAAATACAAGGCGCTCCAGCGGTGTGCGCCAGAACCTATGGTAAGCATGGTAACCACTGCACGGCTGACAGTCTATATTTATTCATTTTGTCTATGGTATTACACAACCATAATGATACAATTATAAGGGTTACACTGATGTTTAATCGTGACTTCAATATAATGAATTTAAATTTCAACAGCATGACATGATCAAGAGACAACTCAAGCAGCAAAGTCTGCTTTCGACTAATTTGTTCACGAACATTCTACTTAATTGCGAAGTATTTTCGACTGAACCAGGTTTGGGAAGGAAAGCGAGAAATTCGACACATCGCCTGAGGTCTGTCTGAGGTAGAAAGTTGGTCGATGTAGATTGGGGCATATTAGATGGAACTGATACCTCGTCTGTGCTCGATGTGTTGGCAAATATGTTGCAAAAGTAGTTATTACAAACATAACTACATGAAAGAAATACGAGATCGTATTCTCATCTCATGTTTGAGTAGA